AAGTGGATCTGGTTCACTCTGACCATCAGTGGAGTCCAGACTGAAGATGCAGCAGTTTACTACTGTCAGCAGAGTCTTTACACACCGTTCACACAGTGATACAACGATGCACTTGACTCTGGAGACTGTTCAGACTCAACAGCTGCACTGAAACTAAAACCGGTTTCACTAGAAATAGTTAATAATAATTCATATTGAACATGTTAACACTACATTTTCTGTATTTAAAGAGGTGTACTTTTAATCATATCATTAAAACAGACAGTCTACACAGTCTGTTTGTACATCGAAGGTAACCTCTGTCGAAGTATGATTTCTTTGATAATTTAAATACACATGAACACTAAACTAAAACTTATTTTTTACTGAAAGTTTAAACATAATTTTGTCTGTTTGTATTCTAGCACTGAAACCAGGGGGTAGAAATGTAGATCACACTCATCTTATTTCTCCTCATACTGATGTTGTGCTTTCAGACTTATGTGGTTTTATTCAAAGAATAATTTGTAATGTTTTGTTAAGTCTTTACTCAATCAAAGCTACAGGAAACTATATATATATATTTTTACTTGCATTCAACTCTTTAAAAACTTTAATTAGAGTTCAATTTAACTCATTAATATTCTGTATATGAGTTAATTTATTTACAGAAGTGTGTAATAACAGGTTGATTATTACACTGTAAAATGTCTCCATACATGGCTGCTATTCTTAAATAACCAAATTAAAGAGATCCTAATTAAAAAAAATTTTTAGCTCATGTGTTAAAAGAAGAATATTACTGATGTATTGTTATCAGACTTTATGGATTGCAGTGTCGGCCCACCATGTTGGTCCAGATTAAAGGACAGGATGCATGGTATGAAATTTGGTTCAGCACACAGACTTTAGATCATAAACCCATCTAGTGTAATGTTGCTGGATCGGGGCTATTACAGCCTAATTATTAGGACATTAACGGTGGTAATGCAGCTTTTAACAAGCATCATTTTGTCATACCTCCATCTGGTTAAATATAAAACAGAAACTGAATTTGTAAGTATGGTGATAGTTATATGAAACATTTACATTACTTACTTGTTATTAATTTGTTATTTCAAATATTAAAGACTATAGAAGAACTTAATAATGTGATAAAATCATTTTTCTTTCTGTAAAAATAAAGTGAAAACATACTGCACTCAATCTGATTAAAGCTCAATATTTGTGATGAATCAGTAAAATAAGTGTTGACTGTAGGTGGTTTTATTTAAAAGCTGAATCTCCATTAAACAGATTTCTGTCTGAAAAGAAAAAGAAATCGTCAAACATCTTGAAGAGCTACAGACACAAAACTACAGAAGCCCAAACTCGTTCATTAGACAAATTAATAAGTTATTAAGTAAACAAGCATATGATAAATATAGTCAAAATTGACAGACAGACAGACAGACAGACAGACAGACCCCAGAATCTGACTCAACCACATTTACCACCAGTAACTACAGGTGACACAATAACAACTCTATAATAGCATCAAAAACCAATTGATTAATATTTCCTGCCAATCACTCCTCAGTGAGCTTGGTGGAGGTCAGTTCCCACCATCCACATATATAAAGATAGACAACGTCACAGCTTTCAAAAAGTGAAGCCAAACGTCTGTGCTGCCCTCTGGTGGCCGACTGCAGTATGGCTCATAAAGCCTGCTCATGGGACAAACGTCAAATACATTTTCCCCAAAGATGGAAATATGGTTTCTGTTATTTTAGGTAGGTCTTCATTTATATCATCAGTTTGATTTTAATTAGTTATTTAAATATGTAAAAAGGAGGTTTCACATCATGATTGACAGCTGAGCCGTACCTCGATATCACAACCCCGATCATTACTGGCTCTGAATGACGCATGTTGACAGATTACACTGATATAGACTAATAAAATAACAATTATGACAGGAAATGACAATATGAAACAATAATAGGCTAATTAGGTCTAAATTCATCATTATTATTATTATTATTATTATTATTATTATTGTTGTTATTATTTCAGTTCTGATATAACTGATACTAGGACAGCTCCAGTGTCACACTGAGGTTCCTTGCAGTCCGAGTCGAGGACACAACAAAGTTCTTGAGGCTCTGGAGAGGTTATGAACGGGAGATGACTTTTACTACAGTAAACATATTTTAATATGTTATGTCTCTGTTGTTTTGCCTCAGTTATTGTCTTTTACTGGCTTTACTTGTTTTACATTGTGTTTGACAGACTGAATATAACTAAAACAAAGAAAGGCTGTAATAATTTAAATCTCATGAGAATATCTAACTGTGAAATATAAACACTACTGAATGCTTAAAGCGATATATATATCTATATATCTATATCTATATAGATATATCTATCTATATAGATATATATAGATA